ATTTCTTAAGGCAATTTAAGCGTGCAAAGGCAGATACTGAGGAATTACTATGTTTTTATGTAACTTGCATAAGACCTGTAACAGAATATGCATCACCAGTTTTTCATAATAATTTACCTGCCTACCTTTCAGATGAGCTTGAAAGAATACAGAAACGGGCTTTAAGAATAATCTATCCTGACTTTAGTTATGCTGAAGCTCTTAAAGCTTCGAACCTAGTCTTAATGCACAGTCGTAGGAAGCACTTAGCTGAACGCCTTTTCAGTGATATCGTGAAAGATGAAAATCATAATCTCCATAACTTGCTACCCCCTCTGAATAGTTGTTAAAGGTCACTAAGACACAATCGCAAATTCCGGATTCCAACCGTCAAAACAAATCGTTTTAAAAATAGTTTTATCTTATCGCATGCGATCGATTTTTGATTCAGAAGCCATGTCCTCCTTTTAAGTAATTAGTGAAATATTTTAGATTTATATTTAGTATTTTCGTTATTTAGTTATATAGTATTTTAGTTATATAGTTTATATGTTTTCTATTGTATATAATATTTATATATATATTTTTCTATTTCTATTTGTATTTATCTCTTTTTTTAGCTTGTAATATGCCGTAATTCAGCCCTTTGGCTGCAATGGTATTTTTAATAAAACTATCTATCTATCTATCTATCTATCTCAAAGTTACCACCATGTTTGAGCATAAGAGTACTTAATGGCGTCTCAATACAATTATTTGTAAAGTAAGACCGTTTTGAAACGCTTTGTGGCGTTTCGCTACAAAATCACAGTCTAAAACGCGTTGAGACGTGATAATAATAATCCCATACATTCTTGCCAATTTTCGATCGCTCGTATTTCTGTTAAGCATTAATTTGGCTCAAAATTTCGATTAATGAAACTTTGATTTAAATTAATGTTCTATTGATAACAACAACAAAATTTCGCTAATTTTTTTAGACTTTCACGTAACTGCACGTAAGCAGTGAAAACGAAGAATACACCAAAATCAGGAACAAAAAAAATTGTTTTTTATATTCAAGGCACTCCTTCCTTTCCTTTCAATTCCCATCATCATTATTAATTTTTGCTTCTCGTTAGGTGATGAGCAGCCTGCATCTTTTACATTCAGGTCTACCAACATTGTATTGAGTAAAGGCGAATAAACATCTGGTAGTCCTCAGACATCTTTGAGTGCATGATGATGTCGAATCGACATCAGTGCCTTAAATATCTTATGTTTTATACCAGCCATCATTAAATGTCTACTGTTCCTTCAAGTCATGATTTGAAATTTCTCTAGAACTTGACTTGGTTTGAAATAGATGTTTTCTGGTTGGAACTGAAAGGTCATGAGCCAATAAGACGTTTAATTTGATGATTGGTGCTTTGTTGTATTCCAACAGTCCCTGTGGACGGCCAATATAGCGGTTGGTCTGCCTGGTCTCAATGTACAAAGTCATGTGGCGGAGGAACAAGGGAACGCACTCGTACCTGTACTAATCCCAGCCCTAAGAACGGAGGGAAAAACTGCAAGGAATTGGGTCCATCTGAGGACAAAGGATCTTGCAATACGCATGCGTGCCAAAGAGGTAAAGCATGCAATGACGATGATAGTGGCATCTTTTAGTCTATCATATAATGTTTTTTATAAACTTTTTGATATATAACGCGCGCTCTGATTGGCTGACGAACGTGTTTATATCAGAGGACAGAGACACGGCTTACCAGCAAAATTTGCTTTTCGCTCGCTACGCTCGTGTTCCTAAGCTTGCTTCTCTCGTGTTTTTCGAACTCCCACCGTGTTCATATCAGAGGACAGAGACACGCGCGGCGTTTTATATTTCTTAAATAAAACTCAAAATCTTCTTTTTTAATGTCAAAATGCGCAATTTTAGTTCTGCTAGATGTTGCCTGGACAAGAATTGCTCCAAGAATCAACTTGCATCCAGCTTCAGACCAGCTTCAGATCTCTAGCCTAACTTTATGTTTTTGCGTGTAATGATTAATGCTTTTCCGTTGGATCCATCAAATACGCACATATGCAATATACCGTTTTATTTTTTGGAATTCAGGATTGCTATGGAAAATTTTAAACGATAAATCTGTACTGAATGTGCATTACAAATTCTTGAATCTTAGTCTGTAAAGACGTATGGCCATCGTTTTGTGGAACGAATGCTTGGATTTGCAACGAAGAGAGCTGGAAAACATATGTGAATCAGAATTGTCGATACAGTTGTGGACTCTGTCAAGGTAAGTTAGGAATAACTAAAAGAAATGAAACAAACACACACAAAGTATTTTGAACTAGAAAACCATATATTCAGGCTTTTACATTCAGTAAAATCAAATGTGTCCAGTGAAGAGGGCGTTCTGTATCGGCAATAAGGAAAATTTATCCGATTCGAAAATTGCTTCATACGTTTTCCTTTACCACATTATAATGCAAGGGCCCATATAGAAAATATAGTAATCTAGTGGAAGCTTCCGACAGCCTTGCGCTCGGGATGTACAAGGAGTAAGAAAGCTCTAAAGTACAAAAGTGAAGGACGACGTGCAAAAGCAATTCCCATTTCAAATACTTCTTCCATTTTCATTCCTCAGTTGATGGTAGATGGAGTACATGGAGTGCATGGAGTACATGGGATCATTGTTCCGTGACATGTGGTGGTGGAATTAAGTATCGTTATCGTCAGTGCAACAAACAAAGGCCGAGAAATGGTGGAATAAGCTGCAGAGGCAAAGGACGGGAATCGGAAATCTGCAACACAAATGCTTGCCCAGCAAGTAGGGAATCAGTTTACGTCCAAAGTAATTGCCCTTGCTTTTAAAATGGCACTCTTTAAAAAGCACAATATTTTGAGTTCGAAAAAAAATTAATTATTTCACTCGTCTTCAATGATATTGGCCGAGTAACTGGTGCCTTAATCTAAAAAAATGTAGCCTAAACATACCCTATATATCATAAAGAGAGTAATAAAAGTGATAAAGTGATGTCATTGATATCTAATTGCAGAACAAGAAAACGGCGTAGCACCAGTTGGACGTAGCGGCGACATGCCTGTCGGTAAGAGTTTATATTCTTTCAACGTGTATCCACATCTGTTTTTTTCTTTTTTTCGGACTGAGTTTGAAATAGATGTGCTTTGATATGACCTGAACTACCAAGAGCCAATAAGACGTTTACCTTTTTGTGTGTAAGGATCATTGATTTGCTGTGGAGCTTTAGGATTGCGACAGCAAATGTAAAGGATAAATTTGCAAAATGTGCATTCCAAATAACGTACTTCCATTGTTTTTCATTTTAGTTTGTAGAGACGTATGGCCATCGTTTTGTAGAACGAATGCTTGGATTTGCTACGAGGGAAGCTGGAAAACATATGTGAATCAGAATTGTCGCTACAGTTGTGGACTATGCCAAGGTTAGCTAGGAATGACCGAAAGGAATGAATTAAATTTTCCTTTCCCTCTGTGTCATTGTGTATGATAGATATTGATAGATATATGGTGGGAACTAGCGGTAAACTAGAGTGAGCTGCGTCGGTGTTTCTAAAGAAACAGTTGTGTAAAAAGATAAATTAAACACCGTAAAAAAAGTATGTGAAATAACTTACTGACGTTTCGGACGTTAATCCTTCGTCGGAGTAAAGAGATGGAACTAGGTATAGTGTGAGTTTATATAGTAGGAGTAGCAAAGAAAATAGACCAATAGGAGCAAAGTAAGCATGGTAACGAGAAATAAACCAAAAACGCAAAGGAAGTGCTAGACAAAATAAATAAATAAACTGATAATGTGCCACTAATGTATAATTGCAGAGCAAGATAACCGTGGACTTAATGGCGCTATCGGTAAGAAATATCATTTGTTTTCTATATTATGTCAACATCAGGTTTCTCCTCTAGTTCTATGACAGTGTCTTCCG